AATGTGTAACTTGAAGGAATTTGTAACTGAACCCTCCGCGATGCGGAGAGTCTAGCATTAAGACGCTGTTAAAGTAAGCGTCTTTGCGCACGTTGCGATATCATCGTACGAATGTCTGCCACGGATGCATCTTCTTACATCATGACGGGCCATAAGGTTCCGGGTCGGCGCAAGGATCTACATTCTACAGCAACAAGCCAAAATCTTCTTTCAGTTCATCTTAGTGTTGGCAGCGTCTTCTGGAAAATAAGAAGTCGCTATAAGATACGTAAATATTGGAATTGTCTACCCAAATAATCAATATTTTTGTTTTATTCGTAGTTCGGATATGTTATGTAACCTAATTACTTATTTTGCTTGAAATTGTACACGACTAATTTTTATGCAAATAATTCCATTCAAGTGAAAATACGTGAATTCAATATTCAAATATATATCATAACGTGGATAGGTCAAAAAGTCTACATGACAGTCACATCAAATATCACAGAAAAATTAGAAGTGAAGTAAAAAGAAACAGTTAGCAAAGCCAATGAATAAAGAAAATGATGAAAAACCCAAAGAGCCTGGGGAACGGATATTGAGTGACAAATAAAATAATTACAGGTACTTGAAAAAAAAATTTCAAGCTCAATTTTAATATTGACTTGTAATTTTCACACACTGCGAAATACACTTGAGACACACGGTGCTTACTACGATTCACACATTATCCATTGTCTGCAATATTTAGACGACGTGGGACTAAAAATTTCTTAAATTATAACCAACAACTGTTACCGTGTAAATTAAAATCATCACTTTAATGAAGTACGAGCACCTCAAGCTTATACTTATTTATCACACTTTCACGCTGATTAAAAAAAATTCACACGTGTCTGTCCTGGTGAACAATTTACAAGGATCATTTCAGTGACGATTTATAAAAATAACAAACCATTACAGCACCGAAAATATTTTTACGGATAAATATCATTTAGAGACTCCTTTGCCAGCCGCACCATTAACAGGATCGTGGTAGTCACCAAAGCGGAACACCGCTGATTTCTCTGCAGATAATTTGCTTCGTGTACTTGGAGGAGCTTCTGGAGCTTCCACACCCAGTCGATTTCCAGCACTCCGTGGCTTTTTCAACTCGTGCACATTTCTGTCACGAGTCGGCGTTTGAGCAGACTTACTCGCTTGTACTTGGCGAGTCTCGTGACGTTTTCGCAAATCTTGAGTTTTGTTATAGGGAATTTGTTCAATATGATGCAATCGGACAGTGGATAACATACTTTTCTTATGATAACCAGCGCTTGACTGCTGCACGTTGTCGTCTTTGAGACTAGTTAGATCAGCAACGGACCGCGACCCGCCCGAGGAGTTGCCCTTGCTAGGTTTCTTCCTGCCTTGAGATCGACTTCTGCGGTCGGTATAGGATTTATCACGAGGATTAGGAGCAGGAAGAGGATGCTTAGTCCTGGTAATGTGCCGAGGCTTGGTATCATAGTTGATGACACTTTGCTTCAAGTTCCTTCCATGACCAGGGAGGGAAGAAGAGGTCGGAGTTTTCTGATTACGCAAATGCTGAGGGTTGGACTGATCTCTGACAACGCTTTGCACTTCGGCGCTGTGGAGGCCGACCTTGGAGCCACTTTTCCTAATTTTATGAACAGAATCTGCACTTCTTCGTGCATTTTTAATCGGTGTATTTACTGTCTCCGAAGAATAAACTTCGTGCCAGTCCTGAGAATTTTAGTAACTTATCAAATTGATACCCTCATCAAAAACAATGTGATATAAACTCACACATGACTTAGATAAAAAATCAATAAGATCTTTTTTTGTTTAACGAAAAAAACTTGTTAAAAAATATTGAAGATTGACAATAAAGTAATCCGGATTTGTATCAAGGAAGTTTTTTGGACGAGCACCAGATTACGAGTCGATAGACATGGAACAATTTTAATATGATATTATCACTAAAAGCTGAAGTCTTCTTTGAAAGCATTACATTTTCCTGGATTTCAAAAACTTGGCACGTTTTACATGGAAGGAAAGTTAACAAAAATCATAGAAGTAAACAATAAGCAATATTCCGTTAATGTAGCAATAATAAGAAGTAAATATCCAATCATCAATTATTACAAAAACGAAAATCTCAATAATTACCTACCTTGATTTTGGTCATTGTGTCTGAATTCCTCCTAGTCAAAGGGCGACTTGAACCACCAAAAACTCGTTTCTGGGGGGAAATGCAAAAGTTTTAGTCGTTCACAACAGAAAGAATTATCAAATCGTGTGTTGCAGGATCCTCAAAATCACAGTAGTACCAAAAACTCCTGTAAAATGACACTCATGAGTGAATGTAGTAAGCAAACCTCACAATAAGTCGTTGCCCTACAAATTCCATTAAACATCCGAAACAATTAGTCAATATTTATTTCCGATTCCGACAATATTGCACGGAAAACAATATTGTGACCTTCATCAAAAACTTGCCCGGTTTATAGATGCAGACATTGGCACTAAAAAATAGAAAGTTTTCCGAAACCTGCACAATGAGTCATAAAATGAGGCAACAACATTCAAGCTTATAATAACATTCAAGAGAAATATATACTGTATGATAGTTCGTAATATAGACAAGAAAGGTAGTGGGACTCTTACAGGATACCATGAGTGTTACATTAAAAGAATCACACCTGAGCTGAAAGGTCCTTGGAGGCTTCGAGATCGGAAGTGGAGGCTGCAATGGATGGGGAGCCAGGGGAGCTAATGGGAGGCAAAAAAAGGCCCTCCAAAGGACGTGGCCAGTGGGGAGACGTTGCAAAAGACACCCCGGGGGACCTGAGGGAGAGATCGTCGCTCCTACTACTAGCGCTGAGGGAGCTCCCCCTCTCAACGTCCAGCGTCAAAAGGCTAAATCTGTCGGAAGATAAACAGGAGTAGAAGTGGAAGGGATTACAAAACGTCGAAACTCGAAGTGACGCTTTTTTTCACCGGTTCACAACAGAGAATATTCAAGTGAACTCCACACAGGATCTGCCATTAGCGTCTAGAATTCAGAATTCCATTTGAAACATTAAGTATAAGTGTACGGTAGTATGCAAGGTGTAGTAGAGCACAAAAATCTTAGTTTGAACATGGAAAAAAAAGTTTCACGTAAATTTCTCGGCCATGTCATGACAAGAAGGATCAAATTTCCTATAGGTGCGCTGTCTACTAATCCTAGTCAATGAATCGATACAAGTGAATAAATCCAAAACTCGCGCACAAATATGTCTTCCATCCCAAGAATTATAAAGCAAATAAAATGCCTAGTACATATTACCAAATTTTATTGTTTTGGAATTTTCGTACCATAGTTTTCATTGAAATTATAGTTAACTTAATAAGTATTTTCATTGCTTTTAAATTATCCCTTTCTTTTCAATGACAACTCATAAGTGAGTTACATTGAGAATAAAGCTGTTTTAAATTTACGCAGAGCAGATGATAATTCGAGCATTAATTTTTTTGACCATGATTTGGTTCACGTTAAGAACTGCCTTCTTAATTCTAAAAGTTTAAATGATTAACGTTGTAGCCTTGATACTATGAACCTGATGGTTTCAATGAAACCTCTACGAAATAAAAAATATTCAGCGCTCAAGACTTTCACTACTTGGATTTCATCTAGATACAGTTTCGGGAATTGCAAATATTGCCAAATATGTATGTTTCTTGTTCTTTTATTTATACAAGAGCATGGCTACACTTGCCATAAACTGAGGCAATCGTTTTCACTTGCCAAATAAAAGTTGGCCAGTGATCTCTGCCCAACTCACTTGGACCTGGAGGAGGCCGAGAGCCTCGTGGTGGAGAGCGACGATAACGAAGACACGGAAGACTGAGGACGCTGTGAAGGGATATCCAGTGAAGGCAGCGAGACGACGTTGGCTTCATTGGAGCACGCAGGCGAGAGAGGCGACCGCTGAATCTGTAACAAGCATGGCGTCAGCAAAAGAAGATCTGAGGATACGAGAGAGGGACAGCGAATGAGAGATACAATCAAGGATAAAGTGTAATGCGTGCTGATTGGATGAGAATTGATGGAGAATACATAAAAAAAAGAATATACACCATGGAGAAAGATGAAAATGATAATACATAATTTTTTTAATTGAGTGATAAACAAATGACACAATTAATTCGACTCGGAATTTTCAAACTCGATATAAATAGAAACCTACACATCGAATTCCCAGACGATAATGTCTTAGCAATCATTGGATGCTTACCTCAAGCCTTTAATTTGCACCCCGCCATTTTTCTATGGACTACATACTTCCATTAGGCAATAAAGTCGTTTGAAGTATTCAAAACAAAACCATACCTGCATGAGAGCTTTAGCAGTGCTAAGTCTGCTCCGACCACCAGACGACGCTGAACGTAGAAGACAGGCCCCATTCTCATCGTAGGCGCAGCCTGCACGCGCTTCTTCTTGTATATCAAAGTCGCGAGCTTCAGTGCTGAGCTTGGACCGTCTGAAGAGGAGGCTTCGTTGGTCAGCGCTGTGGGGCAGGGATCTGGCAAGGGCACTTGGCTCACGCGATGCGCTGTACAGAGAATTCTGCATAGACGACCGCCGTGAGAAAATAGATGCGGAGTCTAGCCGGCGCCATACCTCCATCTCGCTCATCGTTGAAGACGAATCTGGTCACCCAAAATGAACACAACACTTTAAAAATTATTCTAAATTGAACATCAAGTTACAGACTTTTTTGAAGGTATTCCTGACAACAGTAATCCGTTTTTATACTATGTGTAAATGTACTACACGGTCTTACAGTCAACAATTAAATTTGGCCAGCAAAGATGTAACAAAACGTTGAATAGAAGCAGCAGCATTATCATGCAACATAAATAAACAACAACCAATGACATTGACTCGATTATGAAATTTTACAACGGAGCAAGTTGATACAAGAATTTTAAATTATATTATCCGTTGTGATATAATTAGGATATGAATAAAAACTAAATTTGCATATTTATTATGGCCATTAAACCATCAAGTGACTTGTACAAAGACGGTCAATATCAAGCGGCAGGAACATTGACAACTAACATGTGAATATCAAACAAAGAATAATTAAGTATTTATGGAGATAGAAAATGATTAAACTAGCTTATTGTCAAAGTGTTTTCAAGCTTTGGCTTTTCAAACAGCAGCTTGATCCGATACTTTTATGATGACTACAATGGTTTACTTTGAGCTCCTCATACTGTCTATTAGAAAATACACGAAAGTTCCATAACTGTACTACTGAATAAATAAGGAAGCTAGCTATTACCTATTCTCGACCCTCGGCTAGTGGTTTCCCTGGATCCTGGGTTGCTGAGCGCAGCAACGCTGGCCAGCAGATGACAAGAATAGCGGTGCACAAGCCCACCTACGACGTTGATCACTTGTGGCCACATGCTGTCAAACAGCGTCAGGAGAACCTGCTCCTTCAGGATCACTGGATCCTGGGATCCGCTCCACACTTGCCGTTTTTCCAATGAGGATTTTTTGCTAGTGGAACCATTGTTTTTTGAAGGATCAGTATTGACACAGGAAGGATCGTTGGAAATGCTTCTATCAGTTATATTTTTGGTGCGGTTGTCAAGTTGTTGTTGAGTATCAGGAATGGGAGTTTGCATGGAATCTTGCCTATTAGAAGAACGTGCATCATAAGATGCTTTGCGTGACGGAAAAGAATAGGGCAAATAGGAACCAGTAAGACATAGATATCCAACATCAGGGTCGTAATGGCCATCTTCTGCAATAATTTCTTCACCATTGTTGGTCAAACTCTCTTCTTCACTAATGGAGTTTTGAACCTCAAGTCCAAGAGATGAGCCATTACTGAAAAATAAGAGCAGAATTATCCTAAATGTCCACAATTATTACCCATAAAGCACAATTTGAAATAGCCATTCCCAGTTTATGCTGCTTATTAAATGTCAGTTTATCTTGAACAAGTATGTTGAATTTCAAAAGTAATAAATAATTTTAAATAGTTAAAACATGACATGATTTAGATTCAAGATGGTAAAATTATTACTTCCATAGCTCTTAGTCTTTGAATGAGCAGTGAATGCCTTTAAATCACAATGATCTTAAAGTATGCTGTAATGTTGAACTCACGGCAGTGTAGAATTATCAGCAAAGGCAAAAGATTCCAGGAGTTTTAGCTTCAAAGGATCAATTGCTCTACCAGTGACCCTGAAAGATAAAAAGATATTCCACATGACATGGAACAAACAAATAAGAAATGCCAACATATAGTTGTATTACACCTTACCCCAATGCTTAAGAGTGGCCAAATTGAACACTCAGGTATAAAAATTAATAATTATTGAGACACTAACAATAATAAATTAATTAATTAAATTTATTTATTTAAATTAATTAGCTAACCCTTCTGGACATAATAAATATCTGGAGAAATTATAAATTTTCATACAGAGAGCTGAGATTAAGTACGTATATGCATGTTAATCAATCCAACTTCATTCCAATGAAATATCATGAAGTTAATAACATTATTTAATATTATGAGAGATATTATTTTTTTTTCTTGGTATGAAAGCTGATAATTTTGGCGTCTGGCAACTTATCATTAAATGCTCACTAATTCAACTGTTTTTTAGTGAACAACATTATGCCATGTATAAGGCTGACCCTTTTTTAATGTAAATCACATGAAAATGCAGCCTCAAATGCAAATGACTAATGTGAGAAGGTCCATTCAGAGAGGAAAAGTTAGTTGAAACTAAAGATTTCTTGCCTAAAGAATGGTAAACAGAAATTAAACATTTATTATACTCTAGCATTAGTATTTGCCAATTAGATGCTGAGCCCTTGGTCCCTCTGAAAAATTTTTTAAAATAATAAAACTATACTAACATCATAAATCCCAAATATTTATGAATACTGAATAGGTGACTTTTAATACACACAGCTCTTCACTGTACAAAATTAAACCAGTGATAAAAATTTAAAATGATTATTTTAAACCAGAATTTTAATTATGTACCTTAAATAGGGAAACCTGGAAGACCAATAAGAGCTTTCTTCAATCATGAGTGGTGTTGGGTTTAGAGGAACACCAGGAGGGGTGGCTGGAGTATTCAGCAGCATAGGGGATGTTACTTGGACTCCCTGGGGTGCAGTGAAGCCCATAGCATAAATGCCGCCTCGGAGGTTTGATCCACTTGATGCTGTACTGATGGTTGCACCATCAGCCTCAACTTTGGCAGTCTTTGAAGATTCATCATTTCGTCTGGCAGCCTCCATTTGCACAGATAATTTTTTAATTTGGTTCCCATTGCCAATCAAATTGGCATCAACAAGACTCTGCTTGACACCTGCTGTGTCCTCTCCATCACTGTCACTGTAGCGCCGCACTGTTTTGGGCAGCTTCAAGGATGAGACGTTGAGGGCTTCATCTGACAGAGATTTTTTTGAGTGAGCTCCAAGTTCAGAAATGGTTGAAAGCTTCTTTCTGAGAGATTTCTGCTGTTGTTTTTGCTGTTTTTGGACAAAAATTTCATTCTTTAGCTTCCTAGACTTCTTTCCATTGGATATATCTTTCTTAGGCTTAGATAATGTTTCCCACACAACTTCATTGCTGGAGTCTGATCCACTGCAGCTTCCATCATCATTGTGCTGCAACTTTTGAGGTTGTGTTCTATTTTTCTTTCTAGCAGGCAAATCTTTGATATTCTTAGCTCCTTTTTGTTTCCAATTTTTTATGAATGATACTTTAATTGGACTTTTTTTAGCTCTTGCTTTCTCATGGTGAATGCTGTTACTACCTTTGGCCTTTTGTTGCAGAGGTACAATAGGATAGTTTGGAAATTGGTTCAAATCTGAGAAGAGTAGGTCATCTAATTGCTCAAACAGTACAGTAACTTGACGTGTGGCTTCATATTCAAAATTATCTTCACCCCATGACAGTGAGGAATCTGAACTGGAGCTGTAGTTACTCATTTGTGAGAACCTGTTGCAGAAACCATAAGTTTAATACAAAGCTCATATATACATATGTATACTCGTATACATGTTATATGGTACTTACAATAAAAAATATATAAACATAATAATTATGCCATCATATTCTCATTTTCCAGGTCACATTGATATTCAGATGCAATAGGTAATACTTGTATATGAGATATGGGTTCAACGCACTCTATAACTAACAAAAGAAAACCAGCTGACAAACTAAGTGGTATAGTCAATCTTCAAAATCTATTGACCTCTCAGCTACCCATATCATAATTATTCATAACCTTGAGTTATATGAATTCATAATATGCATTTAAAAATTACTTTTTAAAGACAACACTTCTGAACAATCCAGTACCTATCTTGGATGTTACACATGTACAATTAATTTCTGATTTTACTTTCAAATATTGAAAAAAATTGTTTTTCAATATTTTGCAAGATTATTATCATCAAATTATCAAAATTATTTATTCTATCAACTGATTCATGCATTATCTCTGACTTTATGCAATTGTGCAAAATTTCAGATTGATTGGACAGGTCAAATTATGTCATATATGGATTATAAGATTTGTAGCAGACAAAATTATTTTTAAATTTTTTAATAATGAAAAAATATTTTTTTTTAATTCACAAAATTATTTATTCTGTCAATAGATTCATGCATTGTGTCCAACTTTACACAAGTGTGCAAAATTTCAGACAGATTGGACAGGTAGAAGTTTGTCAGATGTCAATAATAAGATTTGTAGCTGACGAAATTATTTTTAATTTTTTTAATATTGAAAAATAATTTTTTTTTTATTTCTAGATTAATTTATTCTGTCAATTGATTTATGCATTGTCTCCAACTTTACGCAAGTGTGCCAAATTTCAGATAGATTGGACAGGTAGGAGTGTGTTAAATATTGATAATAAGATTTGTAGCAGACAGACAGACAGAAAAACAATAAGAAGTGAAGTTAAAGAGAAGTGTTGTAAAAAGAGACTTGTGACAACTTGCAATAATAAACTTGTATGAATTTTTTGAAAATTAGATGAGAAATTCATTGTACATCTGTGAGATTGGAGATACTGGATCTTTTGGAAGTGTTGTCTTTAAAAAGTAATTTTTAAACGTATATTATTATATTGCAATGATATCTGCCATTCAGAGAACAGATAAGATGATGATGTTCATAACACCAAGAGAATTTTCAAACACACAGACTGACTAACACATGACAGGTCAATAAGAAAGAAAAAAATTTAAGCTCAGCTCAGCTCACCTTCCTAGACTAGCATCTTCCCAAAATCCAGAAGTTTTACTTGATGGATAACTAGTTCCATCAGCTTGATTGAAGGGCTTGAAGAAGGTTTCAGGGTCTGGGGGACTGTTGGTGGGAGTGATATCACTTTCATCACTTCCCAAGTCTTCTCTGACCCCAAGGCTTCGAAGTTCTTGTTCCAAGTCGTCAGCAAGGGTACCCATCTCCTTAAACTTTGAAGTTTTCTACATGTACAACACTATAACACAAGGCCACTGTCAGCAGTAGGATTAACAAAATTAATCATTATTTTAGACACATTTGTATGCAAAAGTCTGTCCTATAAACATATGGGGGAATGTGTGGCAACAAACTAGAAAAACTTTATTTATTGAGCAGTGCATAGATACCATGCAGTTTGAATATTTTGGGGCATCCTACATTCAAATTGTGACACACAAAGTGCACATTTGCATTGGATTAGAAATATACTGATGAAATAAAGAGTGAATATCAGAGCAAAATTTAATACATAAATAATAGTGATAAAAAATTGACAACATCAAACTTATGCACTCATGCAAGCTTTAGGATAAAATTGAATGTAATTGGAAAGCCAATTAACCAAAAACAAATCAGATGCTACCCTTAAGATGCTGTGTTCAAAATTTTTCCCCATTGAAGAGGAGCACTTTGCTTCTCTTAGCTTTACTTTTAGATTATTAGTTCCTTCCCTAATTTTCATTCTTGGTATCATGGTTTATTATTTTAGGTGATGTTGCTAGGTTTATTATTTTATGTGATGTTGTTGCTGCCTAATGTTGCTTGTTTTAATTACCTTGAGTTATTATTAATGTATATCTGTTCTTCCATCTGTATTTGTTTCAGACACTTCATCACTATTCTGGAACCACTAGGCATTATTACCTTCAAACAGGGTAATGAGGAACGGTTTTGAGCATTTTTCATTAATACCGTAACTTCTTGCCATGAAACATTTCATTAACAAGTTTGGGCTCATTTTAAAGGCCTTTGCGAGGGCTATTGCATGGCATCTCCAAAAAAAATCCATACACCATTTGAGAGGTGCCAGAAACAAAATAAAAGCATCCCTTCTTACCCCTGGTAACAGGGTAATCTAGGACACTTGAAATGAAACTTAATTTTAAAATGTTTGAAGCATGCAGAGTGTACCCATTCCTTAGTTCCTTAGTATTTGTTTGGGACGTAGCAGTCCCAGGCCACGATGGATTGCCGCCTCTGATTATCACTCATCCGCCCTCATTTGGGCCAGCTGATGAACGCTGCTGTGGCTTGCTTCTTGCCCCTGGTAGTGTTGTACGGGAGGTCGATCTGGGATTGTGCCCAGGAACACATCCAGTTGTCTCTTGAAGGTCTCCAGGGTGAACTCCCCCTCTCTTAGATCCTTTGGTAGGACATTAAACAGCCTCGGCCCTGCCACAGAAAGTGATCCTACCTGCACTGTTTGAAATCTGACTGCAGATCTCTTACATAGTGGGGGTGTTATTGGCACAATCCTTGACTTCTCTCATAAGCCGCTGATCCCATGTAATAAATTATGTATCATTGTTTTAACTCTGTTTAATAAAACTCAGAAAACACCAACTTTAATTCCCCATAAACTAAGTAGCTGCAATAGACAAATACAAGCTGATGACGAGTTCATCACACCCGCATAACAATAGTCAAAACTGCTACAGGGGGACCATGCACAGTCTCCCCCTTCTCTCGTTGTGATTTGTCTCAATCTTGAAGGCCTTGCTTTTGAAGTTTGGTGCCATTCCGGTTAATATCTTCCATGTGTACAGAATAACATCCAGTACCTCTCCCATCTCCTCTGCAGTGAGTACAGACCCAGGCACCTTAACCTCTCCCAGAAGTTCAACTCTTCCATTCCTCTGAGCTGTGGTGGTGCAGTGGTGAGACTCCGTCTCTCGCACCCAGCTCCCAGGTTCAAGTCCCACTGAGAACAAGTTTTTCCAAGAAGCTCAGCTCATGGTCAACTCAGCCATTCATCCAACTCTGGTTGATAAATGAGTAGGTACCTGGCTTGTCCAGGGTGTTGTGTAATGCTATAAAATGGTTCTGGTGGGTCAGCATGCTAGTGATGGTCGTGGAACTACCAGTGGCATCAAGTTCCCAGAAAAACTGACCTATCACCCCCTTTCCCCTGGCTGGCAACTGATGGTGAGCTGAAGACTCATGGGACCATGATTCACTGGCTTTTCACTGTCTGGCTCTGAGCTTCATAACCTTAACTCAAACAGAAGTCTATATTCCTTGAATTTCATAATTATTTTGCCTGTACAAGCATTGTGATGACTACCATAGTTCACCACTTCCATGGCAGATGGAGTTAATAAATCTTCAAGTTCTAGAGCCTAAATAATTGCATTTCACTAGACCCCCTGCCATGGGCTTCGACCATTGATCAGAGCCAAACTTCACTCCAACTGGACAAATTTTCAATACATTTGGAATCTCATGGCCCGATCCTGCACTTTTGTTAACAAACAATTAGATAGGCATTAATTCATCCAGTGGAAATTGCACCGGAAATTTTGGAAAGCTCTAGTTGCCACCCTAATGGTAGAAATTTTCCATGCTTGTATTGGTTCATTTCCTTGTTTTCTTGGTTGGATTAATTGGTAAATTTTTTTGTTGCTGCAATTCAAACAGGGCAGTTGCCACAGGTAAATTTAGACATCAGACCATTGCTCTAGAGACCTATGTGTAACCCAAGGATTATCCTGAGATCTGTCAACTAATTTTATTCAATATTTTAATTCATTGACTGATTAGAAACAGGGTTAATTTCCCTTGTCATGTCAATTTACTCATTTCTCTTGAATATCATGGTACCATGGTTTATTACCATGGAAACCTTACTGTGTGCGGGGTGTGCACTTGCGGTCTTCCAGATTTGCAATAATTTCAAAGTAATTTCTAAAATGCAATAATTTCAATCAAAATGTGTTGGGAAGATCTTCTGAAGGCGTGAATTTTGCTGCTGTGTCGCCAAAGATCTTTTGATATTCACCCACTTTCTGCACCCTGGTGCCCAGCCTGGGGCTGTAGGCCTGTCGCTGATTCGTAACATCACATGATCATGATCTGGTGATCACAGAACATTCACAGCATTTGGGGTCTCAACCTTACAACTCACTGCTCCAATTCTGCTTTGCGTAACTGCCTGGCCTCCTTGCCGATTCTGACCAGAAACTGACAAACAGAGCTGGGATTGAACCCACGTCTCTCCCGCTCTCCGTGCCAATCTTGCATCTTGGTACTCTGAACTTTAATCATGAGGCCATCCTGCTATAGAGCATTAAACTTTCAAAAATTATTATTTCAACCAAGTAAAAAAGCTCATCCTTCAAAAATAAATTTACCGGTTTTTAGAGAGCTCAAATGGCAGATGTGCTTTCACTGTGAACGCAACTGACTTTCCCCCAGGCGACCTTCTTCTTCTTTGCGGGGGGTCCACGCTAGGTGGACATAAAGCCACAGGTCTGCCTGATGGATGACCATTGGGCCTGAGAGCTAGCTTGTTGTTGGTAAAGTTTTTAGCTTCTTGGTACAGGGAACTAGTCAGTGCTCTCTTAAAAGAGAACAGTTCTCTGGTAGCTCCGTACAAGATTTGAGGAGTTTTAAATGAGACAAGTATTAGTAAATGGACTTAAGGCTAAATGCTCATTTGAAGCAAGGCATAAAAGGTAAATGAGTGCTGGTATAGTCTCCCTACCTACTTCAAACACCTGAAAGACACACCTAGATTTTGATAAATATGCCAACAGTAATAGTAGATAGAACATAAGTGGCAGCAGTAATCAAATGTGTGCATGGCTGCCATGCATGCTATGTACAGCTGTTGCATGGCACCTTACAGCTTGCCTATCCTGCCCAACTTCAATATGAATAAAGTAAAAAATCTAAATATTTTCTGTTGTACATTGTCATTATGGTTACCTCCCCAAACAAATTACATAGAGTAAATTCTACATTACTGCATCTTAAATTACGTTGTAGCTCTTGTCTTGGCCAGAAGAAAATGTGCTATTGTATCTGATGTATTGCAGGTGGTACATTGATCTGAGTTGCTCATTTTGAATCTGTATAGATGGCTCTTGACACCAGCTTGACCAATTCTAAGTCTTGCAGCTGCGCATTCTAACCTGCGGGACTTTAAGCAGAGCCAAGGGCGCAGTCTGGGTTCTGTCAAGAGGTCACTCATGAACGTGCCCTTCTGAGTGTGAGTGACAGTTGCTTTCCAAGTCCTGATCCAGTGCTTGTGTAACTTTTCTCTTACAATGTTGAGTGTTTCCTCTTCACTTAAGATGCTCACAGAAGAATAGAGATTTTGATGCCCTATATTAGCTGCCTGGTCTGCAACCTCATTTCCTTTTACCCCAGAGTGTCCTCATACCCATTGGAGTATGGTGGAGGCTTGCCTTTTATAGACAAGATCTTGAATTTTGTAGACATATTCTTTGTATGAGGGGTTTATGGTGTTCCTGATTACATACAAAGCTGACTGGGAGTCAGTCAGCAGGAGAATGTTCTTTGTGCTTAGCCTCAGGTCCAGGCTGCAAAGCTGCAGAGCCTTGACAATTGCAAAAAGCTCCAAGCCAAGGACTGTAAGTACAGGGTTCAGCTTCCATGTGGTAGTGCTGTGTTGAGTTGGTTTATATATAGCTGCAGCTATAGAACCATTGCTGAGTTTTGATCAATCTGTATATACATGCACATAGGAAGGGAAGTTACTATGGCAAGAATCATTGAACATTCCCCTGTTGATGCCTGGAGGGGCATCACGGCTGCAGGTGCTTTGAGAGGAGAGATGGATATGGGGTTTCAAACTGTAGTGTGGAGGTAATGGTGAAAAGTTGGGTGTAGGTATTCTATGGAAGCTGGGCATAGTCAAGGCTGTCAGAAGACTCCTGCTCCTTTTGGAAAAGTGACTAGTGTCTAAATTATGAGCAGAGACACCCATTGCATGGCAGATTTCTTCCCCAGATTGGCAGTGAGGGCAGCGCAAGCTTTTCAGGTACCACTTCAGGAAAAGATAGTCAAACCTGATCTCTAGAGGGGGTATATGAGCTCCAATTTCCATGGATGAAATGGGAGATGTATTACAGGCACTAAGGACAATTCTCAGTGCACTAGACTGTTTTGTTTTTAGCTTCTGTGTGTGTTTTGCAGAAATGTCACCAAGGTCCGTATTCATTTGCTGCGGATGAAGCTGATGTACACTTGCCGGAGCAGGCACCTTGAAGCACCCAGCTGCTGCCAGAGATGGCACGTAATGGTGCTAGTCTGCAGAGACCTTCACTCTTAAGATGAGAAATGTGTGCATGAAACTTAAGTTTTGGAGCATCAAAAAGAACACCCAGAACCCTTTGCATGGGCAGGCTTCTGACTGGTTGGTCTGANCCACCACTTTTTTT